GTCCCTTTTTTATTTTTTATACATTTGTGTGTTTTTTTAATTTTAACCATAATATAAAAATTCAAAAGGCTAGTTTCATTGTTCTTATAAGACAGCCTTTTAAAGCCCTACAGAGTATTCTAAAATGTAGCATTCTTCCCTGTAGGTTTATTAATTGCATCTTAATATGATTTCTATGTTATTTAAAAAAAACCTTTTTCTTAATTGTTTATTAATGTTACATTATATTTTCTCGTATCTCTTGGAAATAAGATGTTGTCCAAAATAAAATTCATTTTTTTAGCACTTGTTATTTGTAAAAACATATTCACTGTGTCTCTTCAAGTAGTCTTTGCAGGTTTTGTGGTATGCATAATTTAAGGTACATTTAGTAAGTTGAAGGGTTAAAATATCCTGCACTGTCGCATATGGCAGTGAGCAGAATCACAGATGCTGATGATACCACATAATTAGTATTCTTTTATGTAAATGAAGGCTGTCAGCATGTTACCATAGTGTCTGCTCTCTCTGATGCCGGAATTTATGCCACTTTGTCTCACCAAGACCAGGCAGGATTATTCCACTATCCTTAGTTAAGAACTGAAAAGAAATTAATACAATGAGAGAGAAAATATGGGCATCTCCTTAAAGTAGATACTCTTTTTTTCCCCCCCTATTTTGCTTTTGTTTATCCCTCCCCTCAGAAATTTTATTTCCGGTGATGCAGAAATGCATTTAGGATGAGCTAAGAAATTTCCTATCCTACCTAATAAAAAAGTAATATGCAAATTAACCATCACTCCACTCAAGCCATTCCTACCTAGCCAATCAGAGTGAGTATGTAAATTAACCCCAACAAAGATGGCTGCAGCCACAAAGAGCAGTTGAGAGGCTTGGGTTTCTCCGGCAATAGAGGAAGCCAAGCTTTCCACCTGCCCTGGCTGGCTTAGGTCTCCGCTCAAGGCTACAAAGTTTCAATTACAGAAGATACATGAACCCCAACAGAAATGGCGGGGAGCAGGGGACTTGGCTCCGCTCCAGGCTACAAAGTTTCAATTGTAGAAGATAAGTAAATTTCAGGTACCAGGGCCTCTGCTTGGGTTGCTGGGGGCAGGGGAGTAAGGGGGGGTGTGGCCTGCCTGCAAACCACCACAGGCCCCTTGCCCAGGCCACCCACACTTCAAGGGAACCCCCACCCTGATCTGGGATACCCTTCAGGGCAAACCAGCTGGCCCCACCCATGCACCAGGCCTCTAGCCTATTTAATAAAAGAGTAATATGCAGATTGACCATCACTCCAACACACAAGATGGCTGCCCCCATGTGGTCAAAGATCCTGCCCCTATGTGGACACAAGATGGCCAGCAGGGGAGGGCAGTTGGGAGGCACCAAGCCTGCAAGGGAGGGCAGTTGAGAGGGACCAGGTCTGCAAGGGAGGGCATTTGGAGGCGATCAGCCCTGCAGGGGAGGGCAGTTAGGTGTGGCCAGGCTGGCAGAAGAGGGAAGTTGGGGGCAAACAGGCTGGCAGAGGAGCAGTTAGGCATCATCATACTGGCATGGGAGTGGTTAGGGGGTTATCAGGCTGGCAGGCAGAAGCAGTTAGGGGCAATCAGGAAGGCAGGCAAGTGAGCATTTGGGAGCCAGCAGTCCTGATTGTGAGGGATGTCCAACTGCCTATTTAGACCTGATCCCAGATTGGAGAGGGTGCAGGCTGAGCTGAGGAACACCCCTCTCACCCCATGCACGAATTTTGTGCACCGGGCCTCAAGTTTGAGAATAATTGGAATAGTTCAATTAAAAGATGTATCATATTTTCAAGCTATCAATTTTTGAATGATTACAGTGTTCAGTCATCTCATACAGATTTTTTTAATAACGTGATAAATCTAGAAGTTTCTTATCAGAACAAAGGAAGAATTGAAAAGATTTCATTATCTTCTTTTAATTTATTATCTTAGAGATAATAATCATAGAGTGATACTTTTATTTTTTTTAAATACATTTTATTGATTTTTTTTTTTTATAGAGAGGAAGGGAGAGGAGTAGAGAGAAACATGGATGAGAGAGAAACATCAGTCAGCTCTCTCCTATACACCCTGCACTGGGGATGTGCCCACAACCAAGGTACATGCCCTTGACCGGAATCAAATCTGGGACCTTTCAGTCCACAGGCCGATTCTCTATCCACTGAGCCAAACGGATTAGGGCTGATACTTTTTTTTATATATATAATATATTTTTATTGATTTTGTACAGAGAGGGAGGGAGAGAGATATAGAGTTAGAAACATCGATGAGAGTCATCGATCAGCTGCCTCTTGCACACCCCCTACTGGGGATGTGCCCGCAACCAAGGTACATGCCCTTGACCGGAATCGAATCCGGGATCTTTCAATCCCCAAGCCGACGCTCTATCCATTGAGCCAAACTGGTTTTGGCAGGGCTGATACTTTTAAATGATCATAGTTTTTAGCTCCAGTTGATTCCAATTTTTAAAATAAAACTGTGGTAATTAAGGGAGCAAAAATTCATATTTTATCAGGTTTACTTTCTCTATGTGCAGACAGATCCAAGGTGTGCAAGACATTTATTTAAAGTTTCTGACCTACCTAATGCCCGAGAACAGTTAAAAGCACATCATGTTCTATCCCAGTTACACTGAAGTTTATCTCCTTGGGGCTTTGGGTGCCTGTCACACTGGAAAAGGTGTACATGTCAGAAGAATGTCCTTCATGCCTGTGGGTGTTAGGCCTTGTTCTTAAATAAAGTGGAACATTTTGTCTTTCTTGGACTTAGTATATCTGAGATACTGTGTTCTGTTTATTTATTTGGTGTGTAGATTAATTAAGGTGGCTTCTTTTTTGTGTGTCACTTTTGGGTGATTTCCATTTCATGTTCAGATGTTTTCCTCTAGAGAAGCTAGTCTGCCCCGCTGAAATCAGTGAGGTGAGGTGCAGAGTGCCCCTGTGTTCCCCTGAACGGATTTACTCTGCCATATGGCAGGTCAGTAAGTCCCCACGACAGATTTGTAATGGGAAAAGGGCTGTGCAGGATAGGATGTGCGTGACCAGCAGATTTATAGATCAGAAAATGAAATCAGAAGGAAGAGTTTCCAGAGTGCCCTTTCCATTTGATGGCTCTCAATGGAGAGAGTATGGAATGGCCTTTTTAGTGTTTTTCTACTTTGGCTTTTAGTTATTCCAGCATATTTTTTTCTAACACAGGAGTTGATTTCACAAGGCCTCCGTGTTCTGATGTTGTGTTGCTGTGATTCCCATTCACAGAAGTAGTCTCTGTAGGATTTGAAGTTGTGCTGTGTTTCATGTGATCTCAGTGGCAATTAAATTCCTAAAGACACATCGACCATCCTATTGGCTAAAATGGGGACTTGCCAAGTTTTGAGTTGCAAGAAGCTATTCAGATATGATTCAGTAATGAATCTTTCACAGGAAAGAAAACAAAAAGAAAAGCTGAATGAGTAAAGATATTAAGCCCTGGCATATTCAAGTCTGTGCTATCTAATATGGCACTTATTAGCTACATGTGGCTTTTAAAATTTAAATTAATTAAAAGTAAATAAAAGTAAATAAAGTTAAAAGTTCAATCCCTCAGTCTCACTAGCTACATTTCAAGTGCTCAGTGGGCAGATCAGTACAGTATTGGACAGTGCAGATAAAGAACATTTCCACCTCGCAACAAGTTTTTTTGGGCAGTGCTGGTCTAATGAAGATTTTGAGAAAAACAACTCTTTGATTTCTATGAGGAGTTCTTCATTCCTATACAATTTATTAGATTTAGTGCAGCTGTTTTAAGGTTTTAATGTACAAATGAGTCATCTGTAGACCCTGCTTAAAATGCAGGTTTTAGACCCCTCCACAGACTCTTTTTAAAAAATATATATATATTTTATTGATTTTTTACAGAGAGGAAGGGAGAGAGAGAGCCAGAAACGTCGATGAGAGAGAATCATCGATCACTGCCTCCTGCACACCCTCTACTGGGGATGTGCCTGCAACCCAGGTATATGCCCTTGACCGGAATCAAACCCGGGACCTTTCAGTTCGCAGGCTGATGCTCTATCCACTGAGCCATACTGGTTTCGACCCTCCACAGACCCTTGATTCATCAGATTTGGAGTCATCACCAGAAATCTGCACACAGAAGTACCCTAGGGAATTCTGATGCTCAGAGGTGGCTTAGGAACTTACATCGATTGGTTGCCCCTGCAGCAGGCGAGGAGCCTGAAACCAAAGTTGGGAATTCAACCGGCGACCCTTTGGTCTGCAGGCCGGTGCTCTACCCATCCACTGAGACAAAACGGCGAGAGCTGTTTCTTTCTTCATACAACCACAATCTTGATTAGTATTCCCTCCAGGACATCATCATTTTAGAAATGGTTTATAATACAAGTTTCTTTCCCTAGTTGACCAGTTGGGTGCAATGTGAAATAAGGTAATGACTTTCCTAGGGAACACAACATCAGCCTCACATAAACATTAGTTGATACCCAAGAATTAAAACAGGCTTAGAAAATTTAAAGTTTCAAATTGGTGCGAAGCCCTTCCCCCCATATTTTATAATTCTTCATTTTCAGGAGACTTAACTGTCTTTCTGTAATTCTCATTCCATACTAAATTTGCTTTACTTTTTAAAAAACTTACTTCCAAAGGAACCAATTTTTAAAAAATATATATTTCATTGATTTTTTACAGAGAGGAAGGGAGATAGAGAGCTAAAAACATCGATCAGCTGCCTCCTGCACACTCCCCACTGGGTATGTGCCTTCCAAAGTACCATGCCCTTGACCAGAATCAAACCTGGGGCCCATAGAGTATCCAGTGAGTCGTACTGGCCAGGGCACAAAGGAACCAATTTTGAATAGAAAACTAATAAACATTGAGTTGAAAATGCCAGTTGCAATCCTTTTTCTAGGAAAATATTTTGCTAAAAGCTTTTGTTTCTCTCTCTCTCTTTTGGGGGTCTTGCTGTGCCAGGTTGGAAGAGTGGAGCCTTCTGTAAGACATGGATAGATGCAAACATGTAGGGCGGTTGCGGCTGGCCCAGGACCACTCCATCCTGAACCCTCAGAAGTGGTGCTGTAGGGAGTGCGCCACCACGGAGTCCGTGTGGGCTTGTCTCAAGTGTTCGCACGTGGCTTGCGGTCGCTACATTGAGGATCACGCCCTTAAGCACTTTGAAGAAACTGGACACCCGCTAGCCATGGAGGTCCGAGATCTCTATGTGTTCTGTTACCTGTGCAAGGACTACGTGCTCAATGATAACCCTGAGGGGGACCTGAAGCTGCTGAGAAGCGCTCTCCTGGCGGTCAGGGGCCAGAAGCAGGACCTGCTGGGGAGGCGAGGTCGGACTCTGCGGTCCATGGCCTCGGGTGAGGACGCGTCCCCGCCGCCACGCACTCCTCAGGGTCAGCCGCAGATGCTCAGGGCTCTCTGGCACCGGCGCCAGCGCCTGCTGGCCAAGACGCTGCGGCTCTGGTTTGAAAAGAGCTCCCGCGGCCAGGCAAGATTGGAGGAGCAGCGGCGGGAGGAGGCCCTGGAGCGCAAGAAGGAGGCAGCGAGGCAGCGGCGGCTGGAGGTCAAGAGGCAGCTGCTGGAGGAGCTGGCTAGCGCCCCTCCGCGCAAGAGCGCCCGCCTGCTGCTGCACGCACCCCGCGCCTCTGCCCAGCGCCCCGCCGCCCGCAGGCGCACACCCACCGGGGGCCGCCACCCGCGCCGGACACCAGCCGTGGCTCCGGGCGTCACTGGCCTGCGCAACCTGGGCAACACGTGCTACATGAACTCCATCCTGCAGGTGCTCAGCCACCTCCAGAAGTTCCGAGAGTGTTTCCTGAACCTCGACCCTTCCGAAACGGAGCAGCTCTTGAACAGAGCCACCAGCAGGAAGGACCCACTCTTGGGCAGGCTGGCCAGCAGCTCAGCCACCGAGCTGTCGCCGAGGAGCCACAGGGCTGAGTCTTGCCAGCGGGATGGTCTCTTCTGGAATGGCGGCGCCTCCATCACCAAGAGCCTAGAACTCATCCAGAACAAGGAGCCCGGCTCAAAGCACATCTCCCTCTGCCACGAACTGCACACTCTTTTCCGAGTCATGTGGTCCGGGAAGTGGGCCCTGGTGTCACCCTTCGCCATGCTTCACTCCGTATGGAGTCTGATCCCTGCCTTCCGAGGCTACGACCAGCAGGACGCTCAGGAGTTCCTCTGTGAGCTGTTGCACAAGGTGCAGCAGGAACTTGAGTCGGAGGGCACAGCACGCCGGATCCTTATCCCCTTCTCCCAGAGGAAGCTCACCAAGCAGGTGCTAAAGGTGGTGAACACCATATTCCACGGGCAGCTACTCAGTCAGGTAGGTGTGTGTCCGTCCTAACCCCAGCTCTGCCCATTGGAGGAAGCTTGGATGTTAGCGCTTGGGCTTCCCATTAGTGCCTCCTGCAGGCTGTTGGGTTAATGGGGTAACCAACATAGCTATAATTATCCCTGATGGAGGGCAGCCATCGTGCCTTTCACTGTACTGTACACCGTGATGGCCTTGTTGGTGAACTTCCCTCCTGCCTCTTTCTGGAAAGATTTTCAGTGTAACTTGCTGTACCACTTCATTTCCAATGAATGTCTTTACCCTTTAATGACGATATGGATAACATAATATTCTCTGTATAATTAAGTACCCATGGTTGGCATGACATCTTTAATCAGTTTTAGGAAACTGAACGGTTTGCCTGTAACCCTGGTTCTAAGATATTTTGAAAGAGTGTATATTCTTACTAACTTGACATTCTTTATACACATGGAAGGGGAGTAGCTAGGAGGATGCCAAAGGCCTAAACAAGCCTCCCTCCTGTTCCCCGTTACCTTTCCATTACTGAGTCTTTAGCCATGTACAGACAGAAGCAGTGACTCCTAGATTTGTGAGAATATGCAGAAAGAGAATTTTTATTATGAGAATATGTAGAAAGAGAGTTTTTATTGTGAGAATATGTAGAAAGAATTTTATAAAGTTAAAAAGGTGGGCAACTTAAGAGATTCAAGTAAAACTATACTTGCTACTGTGGTATGTGTCTTGGGTTTTAAAAGAATGATGTGTACTAAGGGAAGAGAAAGTTTATTTAAGTTTTTAGCATTTGAAAGGGGAGTACTTACGGGCATTTACTTTATCCCTTGAGGGTCCAAGAATCAGGACAAAGGTACATCTGGGAAGGTTATAAAGGTGCATCTGAGGAGGTCTAATCACAAAGTACTTTGAGGCTCTGTGGTCACGGATCAGTGTAGGGGTGCTGCAAGAACCAGGGGCAACGAGAGAGGCAAGTTAGGATTGCATGGAAGGAGCAAAGTCTGGAAGAGGAGGAGGGTGAGGATAAAAAGCAGACAGGAATCTGCAAATTCTCCATCTCAGACTGATTCCCCGATGACTTGCAGTTTGTACCACAGCACTGAGTCTGGTAGAGCCTGGATGAGGAGAGAGAAAGGTGTAGGTAATAACCTCTGTGCCGGATGGCTTTCCAGTTCCAGCTAGCATCACATAGTTAGAAATATATACAGAAGTAGCATGCTCTAACTCTCTTAAAGTTATATTTAATATTACAAATAAAATATTTTTATAAGTTTTTTTGTGTTTTGTTTTTTTTTTTACCGGATCACTTCATTGCTGCTGTGTATGTGCTCCATGTGAGTGACGTAGGTGCTTATGTAGATGGGTTCCAACTTAGGGCACAAATCGCATTACATCTCACTGTAGGAATGGGTCTCCAACATAACCCGGGGCCTATTGTACTTAGTTTTGATCAAGTTATGTGTCTCGTATAAAGCAAGCAAAAACGTATGTGGGAAGAATGGAGTTATATACCTGTAAGTTATTTTTTTTTCCATTCTAGGTCACGTGTATATCATGCAGTTACAAATCCAACACCATTGAGCCCTTTTGGGATCTGTCCCTGGAATTCCCTGAACGCTATCACTGCATAGAAAAGGGCTTTGTCCCTTTGAATCAGACAGAGTGCCTGCTCACCGAGATGCTGGCCAAGTTCACAGAGACAGAGGCCCTGGAAGGGAGAGTCTACGCTTGTGACCAGTGTAACAGTGAGTGCGGGAGTTGAAGGGGAGAGTGGGATGTGCGACTGGTGCTTTCTTTGCCCCCGTTAGTCAGAAGTAACACTGACTGATGATATTGAGTGGTTCTAAAGCATGTTTTAAAGATTTTTTTTTCTTCCCATTTTACTGAAAATAAGCATATGGGCATTATATATTAAAAAACAAAACCGTTCTGGCAGATATGGCTCAATTGGTTGGGCATGATCCTGTGCACCAAAAGGTTGCCAGTTCGATTTCCAGTCAGGGCACATGTCTAGGTTGCAGGTTCGATCCCTGGGGTAGGGTGTGTGCAGAAGGCAGCTGATTGATGTGTCACTCTCATATCAGTGTTTCTCTCTCGCTCCCCCCCTTCTCCCTTCTTCTCTCTCTAAAAATCAATAAAAATATTTTTAAACAAATCTAGGAGTGGTGCCTCCTTTGACTTATGCTGATTGACATTGGCTGTTATTTTGGGAGGCATTTGAACATGAAATGGGGACTCTAAGAATGTGAATACTTCACAGTACTGTAGAGCTCCTCATGAAATTCATGATTACTGAGTCTGACGGGTCTTATTTAAGTTCAGGTGGCATAGAGCTGTGGCATCAGAAAAGTTACCTTTGTATTGAATGTGTAGATTTAAAGTGTTAGGAGTGATGCTGCAGGTCTGCACAGTAAAATGAAGAAAGCAAATCATAAGGTGCATTGCTCTCTGGAAGTACATTCTACACTTGTTTCTTTACATGCTTGAAAGGTTAGCATTTTGGAGTATTTATCATGGCATTAATTTAAAATGTTTAATTTTTTTAATCCTCGCCCAAGGATATGTTTCATTGATTGATAGATATGTAGGTAGGTAGGTAGGTAGGTAGATAGATAGATAGATAGATAGATAGATAGATAGATAGATATGGGGGAGGGAGAGAGGGAAGGTGGAGAAGAGAGGGGGGGAAGGAGGCCATCAGTATGAGAAACATTGATTGCCTCCTATATGCTCCTGACCAAGGATCAAACCTGCAACTATTTTGATGTATGGGACCATGCTCCAATCAGCGGAGCCACCCAGGCATGGCTTGTGGCTTTAATCTAAAAAGTGGAACTCACCCTCGCCAGTTTGGCACTGGACAGAGAGTTGGCCTGCGGACCAAAGGGTCCCAGGTTTGATTCCAATCAAGGGCATGTACCTTGATTGCAGGCTCCTCTCCTGCCCGGGCCCTGTTCAGGGCTTGTGCACAAGGCAACCAATTGATGGGTTTCTCTCACATCGATGTTTCTTTCTGTCTTTCCCTCTCTCTTTGACTTTCCCTTAAAATCAATGGAAAAATATCCTCAGGTGAAGATTAACAACAAAAAGTGGAACCTTTTCCGTGTGGTTATGTGGGCATCTTATGCAGGGCCCCTTCTGTCTTGCCACACTAAAGCTCAATACTCTGTCAACTCAGCATATACAGAGGAAATGCAGAGCAGATGTTTAAAAGCTCAAGTTTGGTTTTTTTGGCATATAAGGATTTGGATACTAAAATTAATGGATTGTGCAGAGATGTAGAAATCAACTTGCAGCCAATTAATACAAGTTTTGTGAACAAAAACCTTAATATATTATTTGCATATGTTTTTTTTTTTTTTAAATAGTAAATTGTGGGTCACCTGTTCTCTATAAAGAATTAGGACAAAAATCAAAAGTAATACTTGATGTTATTTTGCTACTTTAAAATAAAAATTGAAATGCTGAACTTAGTTAACTGCAGACTTACTTGACCTGTTCCCCATTATATATAATGGCAGTGACTTAAATGATCTTATTAGAGCAGTATCCATTTTGTTTTTTAATAGTGAGTCATAAGCCTTTTACTTGTAAAGATGTTAATAGCTTTAATTTCATCATTTCTGACATGATAGAAAAGGCAAGAAATACTTTTATTTATTTTTGCAAGAAAGGGTTGTTTTTCTGGTTTCCAGATGTTCCAGTTTACCAGGATTTCTCTAGGCAAGTTAAAGTAATAGCAGGGAAGGAAAACTGTGGCAAAGGAATGAAATGAATTCATCTTTTGCTTGTGAATTTTCAAAACTATCAGCTTTCTACCTCTCTATGTGGCCAGCTTAATCAAATAGAGACAGAACTGGTCAATCTCAATTGAATCAGTAATTTCTTTTTCTTTGTGAATTTCATTTTAGGGAACAAAGCCAGGTTCTATATGGTCTTCATCTTAGCTCACACACTCCCTCTGCTGACAGTGGCATTCACTGCCATTGTTCCCAGGCAGAGCTGCAATAATTTTTAAAAATCTGCTATGAAAGGGAATGTAAAATAAGGCCAGGCCCTGCTCTGAATTCTCTTTCTGTTCATGCCCCCACATATCATGACCGCCAACCCTACTAAATGCGCTGGCACACTCACCCTGCAGCAGTCTGTTAGAGAAGCAACAGCTCCGCATTATACTGTCACAGAGAGCTCCATGATACGTCACCTGCTTGTGATTTGCTTCCTTTCACGAGTGGTCTAGAGAGGACTTGGAATCAGATCCCAAGCTCTTCAGACACTGAGACCTTGATACCAACAGCTCAGAGACAATCAGCAAGCAACACACATGGACCCTAATTTCACATTCCCATCCATTCACCCATTTAATTAATAGCAGAGCAGTCATCAGTGAATGGTTATAAGAAGGCTTCCAAAGAACATTAAGAGAACTTTATTTCCATTGTTTATTTGCTGTAACTAAAAAATGCATATCCTAAAATTCAGTGGCTTTAGAAACAAAATTGAAATCTGAACACTGATTCTGCTTTGGACTGGGTGAATTTGTCCAGCATGTCCAGCACTGTGCTTTTATCCAAGAAACATGTTTAAGAAACTAGGTACAGCATAGAAATATAAAACCAAAAAACATTATTTTCTAAATATTTGTATATGTCACAAGCTTATCATGCTGGAAGGGGAAAATCTGTTTAAATACTTTGCCCTTTAGCAATACTGTATCCTCTTACGTTCTAAACCTGAAATACATGCAGCATTCCCCATTTTACAGGAGAGCAAACTGAGATTCAGAATTTGAGTAACATGTCCAATAGCATACAACTAGCTGTGAACAGAAAATAGAATTAGGCCTTTCTGATGAAAACAAAAAGCCTATAAGTTTATATTATGGTACATCATAATTTAAGTTATAAGCACATATTTACTAGTGAAGGCATAGAACCCTAACATGTGCCTCTGTGCATATGATATTATATTCCATTAATAAGCCCATGCCATCAGGAATGTACCATCCTAAACCCATACCAATTTTGGAAATTGCTGATGGCAAACATTTGAAAGTGGAAGTATTCAGGATTAGGTTTAGTTGCTGTTAAGTCAGCTCAAATAATAACTTAAAACAAGAAGTGATTTTTTTTTTTCCTGTTATATAATGAAGTCCAAAGGATCTTCAGGGGCTTGCATGGTTATTGGCGACCCAAGCTTCCTCCATCTTTCAGCTTTACTACCTTAGTTCAGAGCTTCATCCTCAAAATTACCTCATAGTCCAAGGGCAATTACAACAGCTGTAAACAGTGGGAAGGACAAAGGATGCACCTTACGGCTGAGTCAGCCTTCTTTAAGCTCCCAACAGCGTCACACAATCATTCCCTTTATCTGGGCTAGAACTCCCATGGGCACCGCATGCAGACATGTCTTGTCCTACAGAGACATTACATGTAAATGTCCTACAGAGTCCTACAGAGGGCCAAATAAAACTGAGGTTAAATATTAAGCCGAGACCGGTTTGGCTCAATGGATAGAGCGTCGGCTTGGGGACTGAAGGGTCCTGGGTTCGATTCCAGTCAAGGGCATGTACCTTGGTTGCGGGCATAGCCCCAGTAGGGGGTGTGCAAGAGGCAGCTGATCGATGACTCTCTCTCATCGATGTTTCTAACTCTCTATCTCTCTCCCTTCTTCTCTGTACAAAATCAATAAAATATATATTTTTAAAACTGAGGTTGAATATTAAGAAATAAGAAGAATGCATATTGAGTGGCAAGTCATTGTCTGCCATGGCTAGGAGAGAATGAGATTCCTCACAGTCTGTCTTATACCTTCCCAAACCATTTAGGCAAACGACGAAAATCCAACCCCAAACCCCTTGTTCTGAGTGAAGCTAGGAAGCAGTTAATGATCTACAGACTACCTCAGGTCCTCCGGCTGCACCTTAAAAGATTCAGGTGAGCTTGCTCTCGGGCATCCCACGTGGCTGTGAACCATAGGAACAGCAGCTTCAAAGGCACACGGTGGGGGCAAATGTCTTTGCTGTTGGGAGGGGACGGAGGTTCCTCGGGGACCTTGTGCTTTCTGTGGAGATTAAATGAGTCATGCCCAGTGAGACAAGATGTTGGGCCCAGCAGGACTGGGTTTCTGCCCTCATGGCCTTTTTTATTGGCTAGCTGCACCAGGTGTCTGTGCTTGAAGGTTTTCTAGCCTCGCTTTGGCTTATGTAGAGTCATCTTCAGAATAAAGTATGAGAGAATCTATGAAAAGGGCAGGCAGTAAACTACAAAAGATTATTGCCTAAATTGCTAATGAGGGATCTGTAGTTTCAGAGTACCTTGTGGAACATTCACCAGAAGTGTACGCGGACATCAATTACTACCATCCTATTAATGTGAAAACCAAAGCTGAAGGTTCCGTTTTCTCAGTTCCCAGTTCTACCTACCTCTATCTCTGATCACATATGCCACCTTTTACTGATAAGAAGTTTATATCTATGTCCTAGGTGGTCTGGCCGTAATCATCGAGAGAAGATTGGGGTCCATGTCGTCTTTGACCAGGTATTAACCATGGAACCTTACTGCTGCAGGGACATGCTCTCCTCTCTTGACAAAGAGACCTTTGCCTATGATCTCTCCGCAGTGGTCATGCATCACGGGAAAGGGTTTGGCTCAGGACACTATACAGCCTATTGCTACAACACAGAGGGAGGTGCGTGCGCTTTACTCTGTAGGGTGGGGGACACGGAAAAGGGTGGTTTGTCCACATCTCATTGCTTTCCTTTTCATCTCTAGTGGGATATTACATACATTTAAATCCAGATGGAAGAATTATGGAAGTTTAATTCAAATTTTTGATAAATCACTGAATAACAACATGAGATAATTTTGAAAATTAACAAGAACTGACACATGTAAAAAGTGCTTATTAGCACGGTGCCCTAGCACATTATGCTCCATGTTAGAGGTCATCATTATTATTAATACTTCTGCTGCAGACCTGTTTTCTTTTTGGTTATGCAGAAATTATATGACCCATCTAGCCTCATGGAGGTATTGCATGAATCTCACTAGCCTCGACTTATAATAAAGTTGAGGGCACTTTCTTAGCATTCACTCTCTTTACTCCATCCCTTACCATGGGAGGTGTGGGGGGACAAGGGTCCCTCCCAAGAAGTTTTCAGTCCTTGTCCCGAGAGCAGAGCCTCCCATCTACTGCGCTGGGGCAGGTGCGCTGCGAGGTCTCTTCAGTGTACTGATCATGAACCCTCAGCCCTTGGGCAGCCAGAGTGAGCCTATGGACAAAAAACTTTTATTCCTTCTAACTGTTCCTTTAGCATTCCTCTCTATATACATACCCCCTTTCATCCTCCTCCTTTCCCCGTCTTTGCCCTCAGTCTCTTGGCTGTCTTTGTGGAAGGTCCTAATGGGGAATGAAAAAATCTGAATAAAATAAGGATAAAAATTCCAGTCGGGTGATATTATAAGCAGTAATGTGGTGGGGTTTGGTGGGGTTAAAGCTACTGGTTACAGGGAAGTCTCTTGGTTTCATTTATGTGTCCCCTGCACTCCACAGCACCACCACCAGTAGTCAAGGGTTGGCTCTATTCACACTTCTCTGTCCCTTTCTTCATCTCCTGGTTTTGCCTGCTGATTAGAAATATAAGTGGGCCATCATTTACGCTTTCTTTCCTTTGGTTTCCTAGGTTTTTGGGTGCACTGCAATGACTCAAGGCTGAATGTATGCAATGTCGAGGAAGTGTGCAAAACTCAAGCCTACATCCTTTTTTACACTCAAAGAACAGTTCAGGGCAATGCAAAACTCTCCGAAACCCATCTCCCAGCTCAGGTGCAGCCCAGCAACCATACTGAGGGCAGACCACGGACCTTCCCCTGAATGGAGGCACATCACAGACTGGCTTGCTTTTAAACTGTTGGTGTCCGTACATCTTTCCTGATAGGAAATGAGGTTTACTGCAGGAACAAGTTACTGGGTTTGCCTTACTGGGTCTAGAGCAGAGGTACCAGGTGACTCATATGCTATCATAAAATATGTAGTCACTTTGTTTTGAATGGATTTGGAAAGTCCCTCCTTTGATAAAACACATCAAAAGTCATAACTCGTATGAAGTTTCATCAGTTACTTCTGAATATAGAGGGATCTGGGTAGAGCAAAGAGGGAGTAAGCTGATCATATCCAGACGGGAGAGCAGCCATGTTTTTCCATTATGTGATTCCCCTGCTAATCAGGGCCTCCTTGCAGCACCAGAAGAATCCTCCTGATGTAAGCAGCCCGGGACGAAGCACATGAGGGGGTGGGGGCCTGGGCTGGCAGCTTTCCTGATGGGATAGGTTCTGAGGCAGCAGGTGAAGTGTAAGGACTTGTTCCTACAAAGGAAGTAATCTTTAGGGGTTGAAAACTTGCAGACTTACTTAGGGGGGAGGAGAAGATAGTTAAAGAGTGGAATGAGATGCATGGAGCGAATTTCCCCATGCAAGATGGAAGATTTGTTGTGTGTCATACCTTCCCTGGGGCTTCTGAGACCAGCGTGAACATTCCTTCGTTCTAAAGGAAAGGTTCATACAGAGAAGCAGTAAACTGACATGTTCTTCGTAGCCTAAGGACACTCAGTTCAGTAGCGAATCCCTGGTCCAGGTGAAGGTCTAGGGTTTAGTTTCAATTGGTCTTTATTGAGGTCAATGGTCTGAGGCTTTCTCAGAACTCAGTTGAGGGTGGGTGGGAATAGCCGGTGGCCCAGGGCTTATCTGAATGCCTGTCACCTGATCTCACCTGGTGCAGCATGAGCTTTTCTTAGCTCACAGCTTCTTGCTCCTGGAGGGTTTGGGGAGCTTTTGCTTTCCAAGGGCTTAGGGAAGCTGTCCCCATATGTCTGAACAGTTTACTGCTGGTGGCTCTGGCTTGTTTCCTCCCAAACCTGATCAGCCACAGAGTCCACCAGAGAAAGCAAGAGTGCCCTGTCCTCTACTCCAGTGCTAGCAAAACAGACCTATCTACCCGGGGCCAGTTTCTAAGTGGAATGAAGTAGCCCAGAGGGAGACCTTCCTCCTCCTCAGGCACCACTGAACTTCCCTTCCTAATCCTTCACTTAAGACTCGCCAGTACAAGTGAATGCAAACTGCAACTCTTGTCCTGGGGTTGCTATAGATGCCTCAGCTTGCCATATGAATGCTCATCTTTTGACTGAGTATGTCATATAAACTTTTCAGTTCAGGTAGAAGTAGAGTTGTCACTTGAAGGGAGTAAGATATGGAGGGGAGTTTGGGAAGGGATGGGGAGTTGAGAAAAGAGAGGGTAACAAACAAGGGTCGTAGCTTTAGTGCTATTGACAAGCCACATTCTGGAGCAGATCTGGAGCACTTTTTACCTCTTTGGAGATTAACTCTCCCCTGGGACCTGCCCGACCGCACTGACACATGGAGGAAATTCAGGAAGAAAATGGCTCACCCTGCTGAGAAAGGGAGAGATCCTATATTTTAAATTACACCTGCTTTTTCCAACACTGTGAGGTTTCTGTAATATTTAGCTTTTATTTGGAAGCGATAGCGTATGGCATTATTTATGCTGTTTGGCTTATATTGTCTGCTATAGGCTCCTTTGTATGAGCCTGGCCTGGGCTCATGTCCTGGACACTGTTTTAAAGTGTCACAGCTGCGTACGCTGCCAGAGGCTCTGATGGGAAGCTATCCTCTCCAGATCCACATTTTAAGTCGGAATGACTGGTGATGACTTTTTGTGGCAACAGAAAAGCCCATTAATTAAAAACAATCAGGAGAGAAAAAAAAAAAAAAGGGAAATGTAAATTGTGCCTCATCTCTCATTGAATGCTATATTTATTATTCTAGAAAAAGATAACTTACAAATGGAGAAGCATAGAGCATCTACTTCATCCCTCAGGCTGTCCAGGGAGAAATATTTGAGGGGGGAAAAATGAACATTTAATGGAAAATTAAAAGATTTTCAAATTTAATTTTTAGAAATAGTTTTATCCCAAATATTATAAGGCATATTAAGTAGATTAAAACTGTAAAATAAGGGCTTACCTTAGTTGAACACCTCTGTATCAAATTAACAAAATTGTTCAAAATAGTTGGAATAGACACCATATCAGAATCCTCACTGGGCTGCACATTCGTGGAGGTGCCCCTGGAGTCACACACTCCTCAGGTACCCAGAGGCAGCAACACTAGATGCTGTTGATCAGTTAGTATTTATGAAGGCTTTTATTAAAGAAAAGTTCCCTGCTGCAGAAATCAACAGCTGTTGTGAGGGAATTGTCCCTTTGCCTTTAATTTAATTGCATATTGGAAGTAGATGAATTTCTTAGTTGCATCTTACTTTACATTGAAACACTCTAAAAGAAAATAAGAACCAGGTAGAAGTTGACTAGATGCTGCCAAATCAAACCCAACATTTCTTAACTGAGCCGTCTGGACCTGCTTCTCTCCCAGATAAGCAGTTAGCATCCTGCTCCAAGAGCCCTTAGCAGTTGGCTGGTGTGTTTACTTCCTTTGTAGCCAGCCAAGATGAATGCACCCTGCCCTCAGGAAGGGTTTTACCTCAGTTTAGCTTGACCTTCATACTTGTGGTTGCCTGGGAGATGAGCATTCATACTAGCGGGAAGATTAGGAATGCCCTCAACAGCTAGAAACTGAAGCTCTTATTAAATGGTGGGCAGAACTCTTGCCAGCTTTGATCCAGCCCCTCTCAGACTGAGGGGGGCAGTGCCACACCATAAAGGATTTCCAGATGTCTCTTTACATGTTATGAATAAAATTGGAAACTGTAGAAGTGTTAATGTGTCCTATGGACTCAATAGCAGAGTTTATTTTTGTTTGTAATGACAAGGCTTCTAGTGAGTGAGCGTCTGAGTTTCCTTCTCTGGTTTACAGCTCTGTCCTATTGCAGGAACTAATGGGGTGGGGTGGCTGGCAGTGGGGCATGGCCCTAGAGGCCCCAGCATAAGCCTGAGAGAGGTGGACAGTAGTGCAGAAGAAAAATGTGGTCGGGTGTGGAGGGAGGGATGAGGGGGGGCAGGCAGGGAAGGAGAATGGGGTTTGTTTTCTTACTGATAAAGCTTTGTGAACTAATTTTATATAATTCATAAAATTTGGTGCCTTGTACCCAATTATGGTTTGCATGGGATTGAAAAGATTAAGGGAAAGGAATCCTTCTTGTCAAGTGGCATATTGGTCTGTATAGTGTAAAGGACATTTGGTATCAGACTTTTAAAAAGTGTTTCATGTCTCATGTGTGGAAAGCAAATTGTTCTTACCAGCAAAATCTGAAATTTTAAGTAATGTCCAAAATATTTGTGATTATTCATGAAATGTCTGCTTTTCAAGGCAGACTATGTATCCCATTCTTTTTCGCCACCCCTTTTATGTTCAAAACATTTACTCAAGCCTGTTCAGTCAGGCTGGGAGCCACCTCTTAACCATATACTATTCCCCCGTCTCGGGTATATCTTAGGAAAGGAAGGTTGCTTTCCCAGCTGGTTGCGAGAGCACAAATGTTGAGAAAAGGCTTTTGTTTTTCTAATGCTGGGCAACTTATGGTAGGAGTCAAACAAAAATAGCTCCCTTCATTAATTCTAAATTTCTTTTGCAGAAAATTTCAGAAAGTGGTGTAGAACAGTCCCTGTATGTGAACCTTTGACTTAGATTGTAAGGCAAGCCTGTGCACTGTGTAATTTGCTAGAGAGGTCCCCTTTGCCAGCAGGTGCTGACCGGGATGGTGCTGCGTGGCTGTGGAAGGCGAGAACCCTGTCTGCTCACCTTGAGCTGTTTGCAGCATTTCCTTTTACTCTGCCCTACGGCTGCCACCGAGCTCATGAGACTTCACCAAAGGATGTTTAAAAAGCTCACCCCTGACAGCACATTCCATAACTGGGTCTCTCCGCCTAACTACTGGCTTAATTAGGTGAGGAGGTTCTGTCTTTGGAGTACAACCTCCCACTGCCACTTAATTTCTTACCAGGTAACTGTATCCCCTGGAGGCTCAGATTCTTTCAAGTCAGCACTACTGCCAACAGCGCCTTCCAAATATGAGTTTACTTATATCTTTCACATTTAAGTTAACCATTCTCTTGGTCTAAGGCTTTGACTTTAACCACTGTGTACTCCTTCAATCTACACACTGCCCTAAGTACACCATAGCTACTATAGCATTGAGGTGAATGGTCATTTTTGTAGACTCTCTCCATACTTATTCTACTGGCAAGTTTCCATTTAAAATCTTAAGTAGGCAGTGTAAGGAGATTTTCATAGTACCGTGTTATTAGCCAGGGCTGAAAACTGACAGGATGTAAAACTGATTTCCTTTGGGGAGAATGCTATCTGTTGGAATGGTGAAAGCAGCACTTTCATTCATAGAATGATTACTCACCATGATTTCTGAAATTGTAAATTTGGTAGCTTTATTTGCTAATCTCATCACTTTGAGGAATTGAGTCAGTTTAAATCAAACTTTACCTTACCAGCATACGGCTTTACAAACCACCCAAAAGTGAACATTACTTGAAGCTGAAACATTAATTTTTAAAAATAAGTTTAATTACAATTGACATACAATATAAAACGTTAAATTGAGTGAAATTTCAGTGCTTTTGAAAGCTACCATATTTTAATTTTACTGAGTTTTGATTTTTAAAAAATATATTTTATTGATTTTTTACAGAGGAAGAGAATTAGAAACATTGATGAGAAATATCAATCAGCTGCCTCCTGCACACCCCCTACTGGGGATGTGCCCACAACCAAGGTACATGCCCTTGACTGGAATCAAACCTGGCACCTTTCAGTCCGCAGGCCGACGCTCTATCCACTGAGCCAAACCAGTTAAGGCGGGTTTTGATTTTTCTTTTAAATTGATTTCAGAGAAAGGAAGGGGGAGAGATAGAAACATCAATGATGAGAATTATTTATCTGCTGCCTCCTGCATACCCCCTACAATGGGGATTGAGCCCGAAAACTGGGCATGTGCCCTGATCGGGAATCAAACTGACCACCTAACTCAACCACTGAGCCACACCAGCCTGGCTGGGTTTTGATTTTGATTTTTGAAAACATTTATGAAATAGCACTGTTCACAATTATGGGATCTGATAGCAGACTTCAAGGATGTAAGTTTCACTGTTAAAAAGTACAAGGTGCCGAAACCGGTTTGGCTCAATGGATAGAGCGTCGGCTTGGGGACTGAAGGGACCCAGGTTCGATTCCGGTCAAGGGCATGTACCTTGGTTGCGGGCATATCCCCAGTAGGGGGTGTGCAAGAGGCAGCTGATCAATGACTCTCTCATCGTTGTTTCTAACTCTCTATCTCTCTCCCTTCCTCTCTGTATAAAATCAATAAAATATTAAAAAAAAAAAAAAAAAAGTACAAGGTGCTCATACTGGTCTTAACAGTGGCCTGATGGGTGGAAAGGGCTTAGACCTATGCTGTGGCATGTTTCCTTCATGGTTACCATTTTGGGGTTGACGGCTTCAAACTTAAGTCTTGCTCTCATGTATGTGACCCTTCCCCATCTTAACACCTGGTAAGATACAAATCTATCAAATCCTTTGTGGTCCCACTGTAGACTCTTAAATGTTCATGGTTTCATGTTAAGCCAGCCACAGCCCTGAATTCACGGGCTCAAACTCTCTCCTTTTAACAAATGGGACCTATTAATTAATACAAGGGAATAGTGCTTTTTAAAAGAAGATATATTTAAAAATCTAATTCTCAAAACAGCTTTCTTAATGAGATTTATGCCAGCAGGGCCAAGAGGAACAACATCTGTCAACCATAATAAGTAGACTACTGTGGTACATTTACACTGACCCTCCTTTCCCATTCACGTCCTTTATCCCATACCAGTTCCATTAAGAGACTTGCACAGAAAGCAGTATTTTTTAAATGCCTAGTAGAGTAAATCAAGGGGAACACGTCACTATCTCCACATCTCCTGCATGAGCCTTTCCAGGCCAGTTCATTACATATCCCATTTCCAAAGAACTCCAAACTCTTGGACAGCGACAGGAGTTCCAGTGTCATAAAATATCTATTTTCTCGTGAAGGAAGCTGTTTTCTCAAACAGACATGCTCACTTCAGTGTCCACAGCTCAGGCTTACTCAACACCTAGCCCCCACCTGCCGATCACTGCCTTTCTACCAATAAAGGCCTCTCCCGTACAACAATGCCTCTCTGGTGCCTGGAAAACCCACTGGAGCATCAACATGCTATGCAACACGGAAAGGATTCTTCTCCCAGATGGAAATTCCTCAGTAAGCTTCACGCTATGTTGACATCAATGAATGGTGGCTACAGTTTCCATTCCTTTTTTTTCTTTTAATATGAAGCAAGCCGCCTCTGCCACAACTATGTTTGGGCTTGTTCCTATCTCATGTGTGAAATATAAATTATGTTTTTATGATTTTTGTAAATCAACTTTTTACACCTTGTTTTTGTAAGCTGAGGTTTCTTATTAAAAGAACAAAAAAATGGCTGTCTTTGTGTGCAGTCTTTATTTCAGATCACTGTTAAAATACCATCAGGTTATTCCTCAAGAAAGAGCAAAGATCACTCTCTTCAGAAACTTAGGAATTATGTACAGAACTTTACAAAACAGGACGACAGGTTAGCTGAAACCTGACTGCTGACCAGAGTGGGTTCTGAGTAGACTCTCCGCAGGAAAGCAGGCAGGGAAAGGAAGGTAGCCATCTGTATCAAACCTCAGCTGCCATCAGGGAGAGTCTTGTGATGGTTACAGATCAGGGGCTCCGTGTCTGGAAGTTCAAGTACATCTTGGGTTCCATCTGTCTGCAATCAGACAACACAACAGTAGGTGTCATGTAAAAGCACTGCAGGGAAATGGGTAGACTCAAATTCCTTCTAACATGGAAACATGTAACTATGAAGCTGCCTAAGGTTTTACATCAAGTCTCTCTCCTATATTTTGTGAATAGTTGATAAAATTATTGCTCCTCCCTGCCTCTAGGACTCTTAAGACACACAAGACAGTTGTTACCTGCTTACCTATTTGGCTACATCCCTGGCTGAGGTGCCATTAAGTCAATGTCACTCAAATTCCTGGCCAGCCAAACTCCTGCAGCGAAAAGTCCCAAATTGAGTATCAAGTTCCTGGAAAAAGAATGATTCTATTAACCTTGTGGTCAGAGTCACTTATCGTTGGTTAACCAACTTACTGGGGGGAAGGGCTTCCCACAACCACCACCCTGGAAAAAACCTCCCAGACGCAAAAACACTTGTAGATTGCAGGGGCGCTTTTCATTACACCGTAGCCTGTCCAAGACCCACACAGTTATTTAAACTTCGTGTCTGTCTAATAAGAGAAAGGTCCAATGCAAAGACCAATCAAACGCTCATCTAGGGCCGAAAAGCCTGTTTGTGTGCTGGTGTAACACCCCCCCCCCAAGTCCGCACCCCCCCCCCACCTCCACCGCACCTCGGTCAGGGTAACTGAAAACATGGCTTTTGCCGCACGGACCTCTCCGAGGCCAGGCCCTCAGCAAACCGCGGCCAGTCCCGAAGAGGCCTAGATGCCTGCAGCTAAACACCCGGGGGCGCCGGCCGCGGGGGGACCAGGCTTCGGGCTCGGGTACCTCCGGAAATCATTCCTATCGGTGGCGAAGCGGTAGACGCCCCGAAGCCAATCTCCCACGTTGTCCGGAATCTCTGGGGCTTCATTCGCGGAGCCGCCAGCGTTCAACCCGACCCCGCTGGAAGCCATAGCAGCACCTCCACGCTTCGCAAGGCCTGACAGCGAACGCTGCCCGCGCACGGGGATGACGTCACTTCCGGAAGCGTACTTCCGCCGGCCGCCGGCGAGCGGAGCGCGCCGCGGCTGGAGCGGGTCCGACACCCTCCGGAGGGGCGGACCCCTGGCTGAGCGTGCACGTGCTCTGCGAGGGGAGGAGCAGGCTCGGGTCTGCGCTCCCAGGGTGCGGTCCCACCTCCCACTCTCCGGCCTCCGGCTCGCCCGGCCTCGGAGAGACCACTCATTGGCTCAGCAGGATGCGGGAGACCCAGTGCCCCAGTCTGCGGGGTCGGAGGAGGGGCTAGCTCAGCAGGGGCTGCGTAACTTTGGGGAGTGGAGCTCCCCAAGAAAGCCTCCGCCAAAAGTCACAGCATGCGCGGGCTGAAGAGGAAGCCCTCCCGTGTCTAGGGTTTTTACAGAGCGAGGGGTCCCGGCCTCCGCCTTACAGACCATCCCTCCCCTCGACTCCCCCTGCTCCGGGCCGCGCCACTAGCAAATGGGGCCATGCTTCCTGGAGATGCCACTGTCACCAGCCCGGGCGCGTCCCGGCGTCTTGCAGGGCCGGGGAAGGCGCGGACCTAACGTTTCTGAGTCAGAGGAAGAGGAGCAGGAGGGGCAGGGGACATCCTCCTGGGGATCAATGGACGTCTCCAGGGGTCCCTGCTCTCCTCCTTTGGGTGCCTCTGCCTTGTCCCCAGCTCGGCACTCGCGCTCCCGCCTGGATCCAAGCAGCCGCCTCCGGGTGTCCGGACGAGCTGGCAGCCGCGGTGAGGACTGCTCCGGGGATGGGCACAGAGGGTAGCAGAGCGCGGCCCCCTCCTTCAGCTCGGCCGAGCCAGCCTCCCCAGCTCCGGCCCGGCCAGACCGGCCTTTCTCCGAGGCCCGCGTCTCACACCCCCAGGCCCATGCGGGGCGGCTCGCACGAAGCGAGGCCCAGCCTCCCGCCCCGCCCCCGGGGTGCGCAGGCCTCCGCGCGATCTTCCCGGGCTCCTCGCCCCTCCCCGCTCCGCCCACCACGGGGCGGCACATCCCCGGTCCGGGAGGGAGTCCCGCGCCGCAGCCTCACCCGCGGCGCAGGATGGGCTCGGGAGGCCCTCGGAGCGCTCCAGCCAGGGATGCGTGGTGAGAGCTGCGGGCCCCGAAGCTCGGGTTTGGGGGTGCGGTTGGAGGACGGGGGCGCTGCTGGAGGGACGGGACGGCGTGGGACCGGGGCGAGGGCCCCGGCTCGGGAGAACTCCCTCTGCCCAGCCCCAGCGCTGCCCACTTCCCCTTCGATCCACACCTTTCCTCCCTTACCGAGGGACGGCCCTCCTCCCAGAGTGGCGGCCAGGCTCCCGCCGGCATCCCAATAGCGACTCTCAGAGCAGCGGGGACAGCAGGGCCGCCCCCCGGCGGGGCATCACGTCCTCCGCCCCAGGGCCCGGCGCAGTCCTGGCAGCAGAAGCGGTTCTCGTGCCAGCGCCGTCCCTCCGCCTCGCCTCGGTGCAGCGCCGGGAGATCAGCTGGGAGAGGGAGTGGGGATCGGCTCATTCATTCATTCACTCATTCATTCATCCAGTAACCACGCCTTAGAGCCAGCTAACGCTAAAGCACGTCCACAGACATTCCCATTTGATCTACTCCGCCACGGGGAGGGCTGATTGGCTCAGCCAGGATCCCCAGCTAGCAGGTGGCACGGCCCGAAGTGGGGAAATGGGACCCAGGGTTCTGCACTCACATGCCAACTCCAGGGAGTTTTCTGCATGATAACGCACAGCACTGGGCACCTAGAACACTGAGGGGAACCTCTGTCCAAGAGTCCCTGCGCCGGAGAAACTGTCCACCCCAGAAAATATGGGGGACGCTGCAGTGAGGGAGGATGCAAAGGGTCTCACATGCCCAGAGCTCAAGTGGGCGCAAGGAAAACACCAAGGCCCTAGGCCGCAGCTCTTTGCCCGCTCCACTCCCTGATCCTAGAAGAGGTAGTCCCTGCGTCCTGCCAAGCTGGACCCTGAACAGACCTCCCCTCAGCTATGCCTGGTCACAAGCAGGGCAGCGTGGCCTCAGCGGCTCAGCACCAGGACGGCCGCAGTGGAGGTGCCCGTCGCGGTGGAATTAGATGCGGTTTATCGGGGCCTGGCCACAGGCCTGGCGAGCCAAGCAAGCCTGGTGCCAGCAGCCCGCTCGCCTGCCCTGGCTGCAAACGCTCCGTATTCCCCTGGCCTCAGGCACTCCCTGCACTGCCAGCGGGGTGCTGGCTGGTCAGAGGCAGCACCACCCTTCTGGCTCTTCCATCCCAACCCCACCTGCACTGCAGGCTCACCAAGAACCCCCAAACTTGGCTCCTCTTGAAGTTTACCATACTGTCAATCCCCAAATCCCTTTCTCACCAGAGTCTCAGAAGCTAGCTCCTTCTGCAGAATCAAGAGAGAGAAGAGTGGAGGAAGGGGAATATTGGGTGGGGGGGTATACGACACACCTTTTCACAGGTGCATTCTGCAAGCTTGGGCGTTATCAGGCAAGCCACCCCTGGCCCAGGGCCGCCCTCCTCCACTGGACACAGAAGAGCCGGATCTCAGCCAGCTCCTCCTCCCCAAGGGCCAGGCAGTATGGCTCCTGCAGAAACAGGTTGAAGTTTGAGTGGAGAAGGCTTAGGTGCTGGTGTGTCAAAGGAAGGTTGTAGAACCTCAGGGAGGTGCCAATGGGAACCGCCTGGAAGGGCATGGGGATGGAAAGGGAAAGAGAGGCAGGGACAAAAGAGTGCCAGTAAGCCCACCTCAGTCTTTACTCTCCCCCTCCCCCAGGAACGGTCATCACTCAGCTCTGACACTAAGCACTTAGCCCTGTCTCCACATATTTAGGTGCTTGCTCCCAGTGAACCATATGTGTAGCTAAATATCACTTCCCATGGTGTTTGCCCTAGTTCGTCTTGCCTACCCAACTGATTATAAGCCTTTATTTTTATTTTATTTTATTATAAGCCTTTAGACTGGGCACACATAGGGCCTCAATAAATACTTAACCATATTCCCTACATTTGTACATTTCATTATTTGTTTCAAAAGTCGCTCATGTCCATTTTCTCATTTGCTCTTCAGCTAAGCTTTGTCATGTGGATCATTGTACCATTATGTAGATGTGAAAACTCAGGCTGAGGCTGGGAAATGAATTCTCCCAATGAGTGGCATAGCTAGGCCTTACATCCACGTCCCCTGACTTCTGGACCAAGGTTCTCCCACAGAAAAGAGGGAAGCCGGGAGAGGGAGCCCCACATCGCTGTCCTGTGGAGGGAGCTGCTACAGGAGCTGCTGCAGGCGCTTCTGGAGCCCAGGCCAGTTGGGGGCTCGGTTGGTGTCCACGCCAAGGAGCCCCAGGCTCAGAACTTCAGGATCCCAAGGCGACACAGCAGATGAGGAGTGGAGCTAGGCTTTCCCTCTTCCCTCCCCTTCTCATTGCCACCTCCTCTCCAGTCTGGAGCAACAGTCAAACACACACACACACACACACACACCTTTTGGAGTCAACTTTAAGATCACCAGGACAGCTGATCCACTCCTGCATTTGTGTTCTGATGGATGGAGGTTGGGGAGGCCTCACACCTCAAAACAGCTTCCCTTCATGTGCTTAAAATCACCCCCTTCCTCAGGGCCCAAGCCCTATAGGTCTGCTCGGAGAGGTCATGTATAGCCATGTGAATATATTTCAAGTCAAACCCTCATGTCCTGGGCATGGGGGTTGCAGTGGGGAGGGTTGTAGAAACGGATTCCTGCAAAGAGGAGAGGGCATTTCGCCTTTCTGGCAAGCCTGGGGCAGACTGGTCCCTCCTTTATCACCTCCATCGCCTTAACTCCCACCATCTCTCACTGCTTACGTACCAGGCCGGCGAGCTTGCTTCCTTCCCAATCCCCGCACAGGCCCTGCCTGTCCAGCTGTGGGCCTGAGCCAGGTGACAGGCCCAGGAAGCCCTCTCAGCCTCCCCAGCCCAAAGCTGTTCTCCTTTCCCTGAGCTCCGGAAGTACCACCAGTGTCCCAAGATTTAGCACCTGTTTCTCTCTACCCCCTCCCCCCCCCCCCCCCCGTGTCTCTCCCAGCTTCTCGTCTGGTCTAGGAGCTCCTCCAGGACACAGGGGAATCTCGTGTTTCTTTCCTCTATAGCAGCCATCCAACGGACAATTCTTTTTTTTTTTTTTTTAATATATATTTTATTGATTTTTCACAGAGGAGAAGAGAGAGGGATAGAGAATTAGAAACATCGATGAGAGAGAATCATTGATCAGCTGCCTCTTGCACACCACCCACCGGGGATGTGCCCGCAACCAAGGTACATGCCCCTGACCGGAATCGAACCTGGGACCTTTCAGTTCGCAGGCCGATGCTCTATCCACTGAGCCAAACCGGTTTCGGCTCCATCGGACAATTCTAAGCGCATCGCTTCAGCCCTCCTCTGGGCAAGACCTGGGATGGCCACAGCATCTCGGGGTGGGAGGCGATGACTGAAGTAGAAAAGGGATGGGCCCTGCCCACAGGGAGCTCAGAGTCTGGTGGGTAAGGGAGACGAAGGGTCTGGTGGGTAAGGGAGACGAAGCCAGCAGAATGGGGCTAGGGCTCTAGGTAGGCAGACACAGCACCACGGGGGGGGGGGGGGGGAACCCACCAGCGTTAGCTTTCTTGTTTACTCTGCACTAGGAGCTATTCTAGCATTTCACACCCTTTACTCCACCCTCACAGCGATTGTATGAGGTAGTCTCTATGATCCCATCTTAAGGCTGAAACAAGCAGGCTCATGACCTTGCCCGCGGCCACAGTGGAAGACTGAGGGGGCTCTAGGAGGAGGCTTCCTTTGTGGACCGAGGTGGGTTCTGGCTGGCAGCAGGGCACAGGAGGCCATCACCAAATCCCCGGCCTCTGGAAGAGGCGGTGGGGACAGGGTCTGGCCTCTAACAGTTATACCGTTCCCCAGCCCCCAGTCTCCTCTGCACCCCCTGTCAGAGGTCCGGTGCCACCCTTCTCAGCATCCTGGCTCCGCACCCGCCTGCTTCCTTCCCGGCCTGCCCCTCAGGCCCGGGGGCACTCAGGGCCAGGAGCAGCCACCTTCCCTAACAGGGTGCCCCCTGCTCCAGGTAGCAAAGTGCTTGGGGGAGGGGGACCCACAGGAAAAGGGGGTACATCTGGGGCCCCAGGGGGACTCTACCCTCTCTTCCAGGTTAGTTCTAGTTTGTATGAATTGTCCCACGCAGACAATGCTCACAAGTCAGCTCTCGCCCTCACCCTTCAATCCTTCGAGGGCAGCCTAACTCCACCTCCGCTTAGCACCGGACCCCACCTTCCTAACATGCTGATTCCTCTCAAAAGCCCCCTCCCCCTGCCCCCTGAGACAAGGGACAAGGCAGAACCCCCGCTCTCACCTGCGCGCAGGTGCAACCAGGCTCATGGAGTTCGACCTTCCCAAACCACCCCCCTAAAGGGCAAAGCCTGGCAGGCCCTATCGTCTGGGGAGGTAAAGGGATGGGATGGTTTCCCGGACAGGGAGAGGGAGAAGTGTCCAGTCCCACCAAATACCCTCTGGAGAGATCCCCCAAGGTTTTTCTCAAACCCCGCGGGGCCCACATGGGAGGCAGACAGGGTGGTGGGTGCGCAGTCAGCTGGGGTTCCCTGGGCGGCTGCCGGGAGGTTAGAGAAGAGGCGGACTCTGCTGGGGACTCGCCCCCGCGGCGCGCCGCTGTCTGGGCCGTTCAGGACATACCCGCCGTCGCGTCTCCCCCCCCCCCCCCCCCCCGCCCCACGGAGCGCCCACCCCAAGGCGCAGCGCCCGCCGCCCCGCCCTTCTCTCCTTCGTCCTCCCAGGCCGGCAGAGCTGGGCGGCCCGGGAAGGGGTCGGGACTCCGCAAAGCCTTTGTGAGATCCGGGGTGCAAAGTGTGCAGGCTCCCCGCTCCTGCCCCCGCTCCCCTGGGCTCTGTGCCGGCATCGTGCCCTGTGCGCGCAGAGCAGACACCGGGAACCTCGTTTGTCCGGGTCCGCGGCCACTGGCCGAGCAGAACGCCTCATCAAGCACGCAGATCCCCCCAAAACCTCCATCAGGTTTTCTAGCCCCGCCCCTCTCTGTATCTCCTCCCCCACCCCAGCACCCTCCCCCTTCTCCCAGGGGTCCCTCCGCCCCTTGCCCTTTCTCCTTCTCTTGCCGAGTCCCTGGTACTGCCCTTCTCTCTGCCACCCCTGCAGACCCCTCCCCGACCTTCCGTGTTTCTCCCTCCACCCCGGGTCCCTTTCTGCCCGGGGTAGTGGAACCTCTGGTCCCGCCTCCGTCCCTCGGCCCCGCCCACGAAAGGCCCCGCCCCACGACAGGCCCCGCCCACTCAGCCGGGTCCCGCCCCTAGGGGCGCTCAGCCGCTGGCCTGGAGCGCCCTCTGGCGTGTGCGCATGCTCCGTGCTCCCGACTGCAAAGTCCTCCAAAGGGACCTTCTAGGCTGCGCGCCGGTCGCCCTGAGCGGGTCCGCCCGCCCGCCCGCAGCGTCTCGTTGGTGCCGCCGGTGACCTCCGACCCCGTGACCGCGGGGTGGGGCCGGGCAGGGAGAGCTTAGCTCCGGGCGGCGGCGGCTGCTGCAGCGGCACCCGGGAGCGGGGCCCGGCGCCGCCCGGGCCGCGGGGCGATGTGAGTCGGGGCGGGCGGGGCGGGGACGTGGCGGCACCGGCGAGGCCGCACCGCGCTGCCGTCTCCGCTCCGGTCCGCGGCGGCCCGGCGTGCGGCGGCGCCCCGGGCTGGGGGCGGGGGTGCAGGCACGGCGCGCGGCCCCACCGCCGCCGTTCCTTCCTGGAGTCAGCTGGGGTTCCCAGTCCAGAAATCCCCCTGACAATCCCGCAACCTGAATTCTTCTCACGCCTCAGAACCACCCCGCCCCCACCCGACACATCTTCGCAGGTCCCGGCGCCCTCGAACCCGTCATCCTGCGAATTCCCCGCACGCCCACATTCTCTCCCTGATGCCCTCAAATGCTTCCTCCGCCCTGACATTCCTCTGATCCGTCATGCCCCTCCCCTTTCTCCTTGCACCGTATTCAACTGCATAAAACTGCCCATGTTTCCCCAGTCCTCACGTGCATTTGGAGTCCTCATAACCCCGTAACTCCGTGCCCAATGCAAACCTGTCCCCAGACCGGAAATCCCTTCTGTCCCATCCAATGTAATGTCCCTCATTGGGCTGTCATCCTATGCAGCTTAAAGAGAAGGGGACAGAAAAGGTGCAACAGCCTCCCCCATCTTGCACCCTATAATTAGTTCTTGGTTTCACGCCCAGACTCCCTTGTGATAGCTCAAGCCCCACTATTTTCCCCAGCTCCTGCCCCATCTCCAGGCTCTGCACACCTCCCTCAGCCTGCTACCACTTTCCAAGGAAAAAAGCCAGACTGAGAGGGTGGGGTCCTTCCACCTGCAAAGTTTTCTAAGCATTCAGAGTACAAGAGGCCCTGGGAAAGGATCGTGTTTTCCCAGAAAGGAAGGTGGGATTTCAAGAGTCTCCAGGGGCCTGTCCTGTCAGCTTGTCTACTTGGGGCTCAGATCCCTGAAATCTTGGTTTATTGTAGCATTTGTATAATATTAACATTTTAGGCCTTTCAGAGCTTGGAGAACAGGAAAAAAAAAAATTCCTGTCAAGCTTGCAAATACAAGATTTTTGTGAAAGAGGAAAATGTTAGTGATATTTGTCCTCCATACTTACTTCTAGAGGTTATTGACGCTGGAAGTGCCACAGCTTACAAAGATGTCCCTTTAAAAGTAAAGCCTTGGGGTGGGAGGTGGTGGGACCTACTTGGCAGTCTCCTAAGTAGCAGCAAAACGTCTAGAGTATTAGCTTCCTGATTCTCACATCCGTGCTCTTCCCAGTACATCACAGTGTCTTTTTGAGAAAGCTCTTGGTCAGGTTCTCTGCAAAGGTAAGGTGGTGGTCGTAACAGGATCCACATGGAGTCTGGCGGCCACTTCAAAGGTCTCGGGCTGCCTCAGACTTCAAAACCCATTGATACGAGGAGAGTATCCTTCTCAAAGCTTACAGTGCTCAGGATTTGTGGTCCCTTTGCCCTTGATCTTGCTTTATCTGTTGGTGTGTTGGTCCCATTGGGACCTGGAACAGATATCCAGGTGGGATGGACTGACAGCAAGTCAGTCTCTGTAACAGTCGCTGAGGATGGAGGTTTCCACTAACGGGCGGTCTCTGTCTCTCTGCCAGGTGAGCCCCAGGTGTGTCCGGGAGGGATCCAGGTGACTTCTCTGCAGACTGCTCGCCATGATGCCCCACTAAGAACAGGGGGCATAACGTGTGGGCCCTGCCCCATGCCCCGCCCAGACTCAGTTTCCCGATGGCCTAGGTGAGGTGAGAGCTATAGAGACGAGCCACTTTCCTAGAGTTTCCCAAATTGGGAGGAATGGAAGGTGCAGGTCAGGCTTGTTCAAAGCTTTATACATTCAGTGGGGTATCTAATCTTACAGAAGGATTTCTTGTATCAAGTTGCAACCCCTTAACTTCGGGTTGGAATCAGTCCATGTGTTTGTTGTGTGCTCTCTTCGGTCACTCAGACCTGGTAGGTAACCCCTCCAACTTAGGTGCAGTCCTACGATGCTGACCTCCAATCCAAGTGCCTTATCTTGGAGGGAAAAGCCAAGATTGTGTTTCCCCTTTGTCCAAAAGCAAACCCAGCATGTGTTTTTTAAGTCAAGTTTATAAAAAGTATGCTGTTTTATTATTTATTTATTTATTTATTTATTTAAATATATTTTATTGATTTTTTACAGAGAGGAAGGGAGAGAGATACAGAGTTAGAAACATCGATGAGAGAGAGTCGTCGATCAGCTGCCTCTTGCACCCCCTACTGGGAATATGCCCACAACCAAGGTACATGCGCTTGACCGGAATCAAACCCGGGACCCTTCAGTCCCCAAGCCAACGCTCTATCCATTGAGCCAAACCAGTCCCGGCAAAAGTATGCTGTTTTAAATGTGTATCGTTTGACCATAATGTATTATAGCACCTCAAAATGAAAAGAACACCAGAAAGGTAAAGCTGAGGCGGATGTTGGGATGATGGTAAGGGAGGGAAGAGGATTGGGATGATATGGGAAGAACGAGATGGAAAAGGAGAAAAGTATAGGCCAGAGTGTCTGGGACTCCCAAATCAATTGCTTTGCTGAATTTGGATGAGGCTCAAGGCCAGTACCCAACTCCTGATGCAGATCACTTCTGGGTTTCGACCTGTTTCATGGTTTTCTCCGTGCCCAGGCCTCCCTTCACTGTCATCACATCAGCCAGAATCCTATATGCTTCTCAAGGTCTAGATCAAACGATAGGTCCGAGAAGCACTTTCCACCCCCCGTTAGCATTAATCTTTAACATATCCTAACTCGAGTTAATGTTTATCCAGTGTGTGTGTGGGCCTGTTGAGAGTGGGAATTTCTTGAGGGAGGGACTATGTCCTACAGTCCCGTGGGCAGGGGAAGTGGTCACAGTGAGATGGCTCTGCCCGAGTCCCCCAGAGCAGGGCTGTTGGGAGCTGACCTTGATGACTTTCTTGTCCCTTATGCTTTCCGTAGGACGGGCTGGCTGCTCTGACACCATGGGGAGCTGCTGCAGCTGCCTGAACAGAGACAGCATCCCCGACAACCACCCCACAAAATTCAAGGTACCCACAGCCCCTCCTCTCCCGAGCGCCCACCAGGGCCGCCTGGTCTTCGGCCCCGAGCGGTGGCGTTGGCTCAGCCTCCCTAGAGAAGGGGGAGCGACAGGCTGAGTCGGTGGGCTTGTGAGGCTTTCCTGAGATCAGGGCCTCTGAGGAAAAGGAGTCCAGGCCACTGCTGTGTGTTCGGCTCTTGGTGCCACCAAGAAGGAAGAAATGCGGTAACACAGTCGTAGCAGAGGTGGTGTTTTTAGATTCTTCGGTCCTGTCAGTGCATCTTTGTTACATCACACGTAACGTTTTTGGACAAAACAACAAAAGTCTGTATGGAGAGCTAATGTGTGTGAAGTGTTTAAGACCGTGCTTACCACCTGGCAATCACTGTGTTAGTGTAGCTGAAAAGGCCCGGCCCAGTGGACCTGTGCACCCCTGGTCCCTCCCCCGTTTCAGGTGGTGAGGCCCCTCCTGTTGAAGCGTGGTTTCTATTGCTCACCACCAGAGGGCGCCCTCAGCAAGGTCCTAGCGATGGGGAGGCGGTGGAGGCAGTGTGTATTTGTTCTGCCTTGGGCTTGGCTCTCCCAGGGTCTTGAGATTTTGAACTTACACTCGAACACCTTCTTCCGTTAACATCTGGCCCTTGGATACTAAGCCATGGACCATCTGGGGGCATCTAACCTTGGTCGTCCAACCACCTGGCTATGGAGGTTACTGACCACCTCTCCACTCACTGTGCAAATGACAAGCCGAGGCCCAGAGAGCTGTCGTGGGTCAGTGGCACTGAGGCGTCCTGTGGCTGGCGTTCTGGAGAGGTTGTGGTGAGTCAGGTGAGCCCCTCAGTTCCCAGCCGCAGCCCTGCACCGCCAGCCTGCCGGGCTCCCCACGGCTCAGGGACCCGCACGCTCCCTGGTTGGACTCGCTCCGTGACCCTCTGTCTCCTGCCCCCCAGGTGACGAACGTGGATGATGAGGGGGTGGAGCTGGGCTCCGGGGTGATGGAGCTGACGCAGAGCGAGCTGGTGCTTCACCTGCAACGGCGGGAGGCCGTCCGCTGGCCCTACCTCTGCCTGCGGCGCTATGGCTACGATTCCAACCTCTTCTCCTTTGAGAGCGGCCGCCGCTGTCAGACGGGCCAGGGTGAGTGCCAGCCCCCGCCCCATGCTAACTAGGGCTTGTGCCCCTGGGCCCGGTGCTGGGGCTGGAAGTCACAGCTCAGACTCGGCAGGCATTGCCCAGCGAGGGGGAGGCTCATGGCCAGGAGCACCGGCACGTGAATACAGAGCTAAGTGGACTCCCAGACCAGTGCTCCTTCACTGAGCTCCGGCAGGGCCCCCTCTGTGGGCAGTAGCTGGTGCTCCGAGCCCAGAGCCTGCTTGGGAAAAGCAGCCGATCCCTCCTCCCTCGGTTGCTCCAGTTCCCAGGGTCCCTAAGTAGGAAGGAACTTTCTTCTGAGCCCCCCGGTCATGTGTCCTGGAGCCCAGGAGTAAGGAAGAGCCGGCGGAAGCACCGCCCTCCTCGGGGCCCTGTGGCTCGGTAACGATACCTGTGGGTCCTGGGGTACAAAGTAACCCTCGGGCGGTTATCCCTCGTCACCTCTGAGCAATGGAGTGCGATGCATTCTTCCTTCTTCCCTGTCCTCCCTGCAGCCGGAGGTCAGGGTGTGGCAGGTTGTCCATGAGGTCAAGGCCCAGCTGTCCGTGGCTCCGTGAAGCAGCGGTGTGGTGTGGGCTTCTCTCGCAGGGCTCAGACAGAAGCTCCCGGAGCCCTGCCGGGGACCACGGGAGACGCAGTGTGGGTGTGACTATGCAGAGGCGAAACGATCGAGCTGCTCTTATGGCTGCCGGCAGACAGTGCGTCTCCGAGGCTGTATTGGCTGGGGGAGCCGCCTTCCCCCGGCATTTGACCTTGGAGCTCCTGAGGCAGAGGCGTTCACACTGACCGAGCAGAGAGCCGGGAGGAAGGTGGTGTTTAGTCCATACTTGGGATCCTGGAAGGGCTGCCCTAGGCCCTAAACTTCCGGTTTCCCAGCCTTTTTATCCTTCAGCATGGCTTGCCAGTATAGTCTTTTTTCTCTTCCTCCATCCTTCCTGCCCCATTCCTGCAGATGTCAAATGGCCCACATCCCAGCCTAGCTTTGTCTTTGTTGAGGATACACACACACCCCAAGTGGCTCCCCGTGAGTCCCGGGCCCCACTGTTACGGGAGTGCAGAATCCCGGGCTGGCACACATCCCGAGGGCGACCTCGGACCCCCTGAGTCACAGTGCTCGGCCCCTTCTGCTGACCCCGGGACTTCGAGTTCCTGCATTCGAGTCCGAGAGACGGTGAGGCGGCTGCTTGGAGGAGCCACCTATCGCTGTGCTGTGTCTGTCCTTCAGCTGGTCAGCCATCCTTTCTGCACCGGAATCTAAGCTCCGTGTGGTCAGGGGCTGTACCCAGTAGACGTTCGCTCTCTGGCCCGATCTGGGCTACGTACCCAGTGAGGAAGCAGTGATAGGGCAGACTCTACCCTCTGAGAGCTTTGGGCTGTTAGTCATGGGCTGAGGGCTGGCACCCTGGTGGAGCTCATTTCTGGGGCGCCAGGGGTAAAGGCAGAGGGAGACGGGGCAGCATGTGAGGAGCGATCACTGGTCTCATACTTCCTCTCTCAGTTTGATTTTCACTTCTCTTCCCCTCACCTCTGTGCACATCATCTTTATGAAAATGACTTAACCTCAGAGGAGCAGAGCTCAAGTGTTAGATCTCAGGATGGTAATGGCCAGCGGGAGGGCCGGGGAAGGCAGTGAGCCCAGCTCCGCCTGCTTTAGCATGTGCCGGGGGGTGGGGGTGGGGGGGAGCCTCCTGGTGAGGGCTCTCTGCATCCTGCAGGCCTGGGAGTGGACCTTAGAGACGTCTCCTGAGCTTTGTGCACCAGGTTAGCCTCTGTGGCCCTTCCCTGTCGGGCACAGGCTCAGAGGAGCCTCATTCTTCCTCTCCTGCTTCAGGGATATTTGCTTTCAAGTGCTCCCGGGCCGAGGAGATCTTCAACCTCCTGCAGGACCTGATGCAGTGTGACAGCATTAACGTGATGGAAGAGCCCGTCGTCATCACCCGCAACAGCCACCCGGCCGAGCTGGACCTCCCGCGGGCCCCGCAGCCTCCCGACGGTGAGGAGACCCGTGCTCGGCCCCCAGCACACCTGCACCCACGTGTACACACACACACACACACACACACACACACACACACACACGCACGCACACACACACACGTACACACAGAAGCACAGGCCCAGGGAGCACCTGCGTTGGAGGTCCGAGTCAGACAGGTAGGCGGGGGTGGCTGGGTGAGCCAGCCTTCCAGGACCAGCAGCCGACCGCCATCAGAACCACTCGGGGGTGGGTGAGGCCTGGCTGGGCCAGTCAGGTGACGCCAGCTGAGCCTGGGAAGTCCTGGAACTTTTATCGATGGATGGTCAGGGTGCAGATGTTGGGTTTCCATGGAAACAGCAGTCTGAAGCTTTTTTGCTTCCTTCCTTCCATCTACTGGGTCACACCCATGTGCCTTTCCTGGTGGGTGGTGCAGCATCTCTACCATGACCAGCTTCTGGAGAGGTTCGCACAGCGGCTGCTGGTTCGTTCTTTTTTTTTTTTTTTTTTTTTTTTTTTTTTTTTAATATATATATATATATTTTATTGATTTTGTACAGAGAGGAAGGGAGAGAGATAGAAAGCCAGAAACATCGATGAGAGAGAGTCATCGATCAGCTGCCTCTTGCACACCCCCCACTGGAGATATGCCTGCAACCAAGGTACATGCCCTTGACCGGAATCGAACCCAGGACCCTTCAGTCCCCAAGCCGACGCTCTATCCATTGAGCCAAACCGGTCCCGGCATGGTTCGTTCTGAGTCTGCACTGAGCACCCACTCTGCGTGCTGCCTCCCTGGTGGACGGGTGGGGCAGGAAAATGGAAACAGTGCTGCTTTCCAGGAGCTGCCCTGGAACTCTTTGGCAGAGCTAGGACGAGGCAAAGAGACAGTCCAGTGATGACCCGTGTTTTAGGGAAGGATGTGAGCGGGAAGTTACAACATTCAAGCTGAGCTTTGAGGGAAGAGGTGTGAAGAACAGAGAGGTGATGGGTCATGGGGACTGTGGGTTCACATGGCTGATTACTTGGGTGGTCTGGGGAGGAGTCCCAGGATGTGCACACGCGGTCGCAGGTGGTTTAAGGACCTCCACCTGGGCTTGTCTTCCCTGTCTCAGCTCTAGGCTACAGCGTCTCCAGCTTCTCCAATGGCTTCCCTGGATGCCCCGGAGAGGGCCCCAGACTCTCCGCACCCCGGCGCCCCTCCACAAGCAGCCTTCGACACCCCTCATTGGGAGAGGAGTCCACCCACGCCCTCATTGTCCCCGATGAGCAGGTGAGCAAGCAGCCGACGTACCCCTCTCTCCTGGGCTGGGTGGGAACCGAGGTCAGGAAACATGGCACCTTCTCCCAGTAAGAATCACGGCGGGCAGAAAGCCTACAGGGTCCCAGCTGCCCTGGGAGGTCTGGGGGACAAGGAAGAGGAGAAAACTCTAGCTCTTTCCCCTGTGTGTCTCATCTTTCAACCTCCTGTCCCTTCCGCTCTCCCTTCTCCCCGCCCTTGGACCTTCCTGCTCATTTGGACTCCTTCCCCCCAGTCCCACACGTACGTCAACACACCGGCCAGCGAGGATGACCACCGCCGGAGCCGGCACTGCCTGCAGCCGCTGCCCGAGGGGCAGGGCCCCTTCCCCCCGCGGGCCCCGGGCCCTGACCAGCGGGACCCGCAGGCGTTCTGGCAGCCGGGCCAGGTGAAGTTCGTGCTGGGGCCCACTCCTGCGCGGCGGCACATGATGAAGTGCCAGGGCGTCTGCCCCAGCCTTCGCGACCCCCCTCACCACAACAACAACAACGGGGGCCCTTCCGAGTGCCCGGCCCAGCCCAAGTGCACCTACGAGAACGTCAGCGGGGGGCTGAGGCCCGGGGCCGGCTGGAGACTGAGCCCCGAGGAGCCGGGCTGGAGCGGCCTTGCCCAGCGCCGGGCTGCCCTGCTGCACTACGAGAACCTGCCCTCCCTGCCCCCCGTGTGGGAGAGCCGCGCCCCGCAGCTGGGGGAGGAGGCCGGGGATGACGGGGACTCCAGGGACGGGCTCACACCCTCCTCCAACGGCTTCCCTGACGGCGAGGAGGACGAGGCCCCCCTGCAGAAGCCCTCGGGCCCCCGCGCGGCCCTCCGCAGCCACAGCAGCTTCCCCGTGCCGCTGGCGCGCTGCCGGGGCTCCCCCAGGGTCTTCCACTTCGACTTCCGCCGGCCGGGCCCCGAGCCCCCCAGGCAGCTCAACTACATCCAGGTGGAGCTGAAGGGCTGGGGCGGAGACCACCCCAAGGGGCCCCAGAACCCCGCGGCCCCCCAAACCCCCACGCCCACCTCCCACCCTGCCCGCAGCTCAGACTCCTACGCCGTGATTGACCTCAAAAAGACCGCGGCCATGTCCAGCCTGCAGAGGGCTCTGCCCCGGGACGATGGCACGGCCCGGAAAACCCGGCACAACAGCACTGACCTGCCTCTGTAGGGGCCCTCGCTTCTGGCCTCAAACCCACACCGGGGTTCAGGGGTGCTTTGCGGAAGGGCACTGAGGTGGCGCCAGATGCTTCCCTGCGCTGGCCGGCCGGCCGGAGCCCCGGAGATAGCAGCCACCGAGTGGCCGGGCCTCCCAGCGGGGAGGGGTGGCCAGGCGCCGAGGAGCCGCCTGTGAACTGTGAAGGTCCCCTGGCCTCACTGAGCGCCTCCTGCTACGTCCCCCCCGTCCTGTCTGTCATCTGTGTATGTTTTTGGTTGAAATTTTGAAACATTTTGTACCTGTTGATTTTATTTATCAGTTTATTTTTCTATTGTTTCAAATGTATTTAACATATTTATTATTAATATAATTATTTTTAAATTCTGGCTTGGTGGACGATGTCAGATTCTGAGGGCGTCTTTTGTGGCGCGACCCCAGGGCGGTGGAGGAGGCCTGTGCGAGGCGGGGCTTCGTGCAGGCCCGTTCGGGTGGCGGCGGTTCTGTGGCAAGTCTGACCCTTCCCTTCTCTCTTCCAGGAAGCCTCTCCCAGAGCTTAGAGCTGCCGTTGGCGATGGGCGCTCCGTCCGAGAGCCAGCACGGGTCCCAGAGGCGGGAGGGGGTTTGCAGGGAACACTGCCTCCGGGAGATAAAGCCTGGGCCCCCCCGTGGGCAGTAGCTAGTGGAGGAGGGAGGGCTCTACCACATTCACATTCTGGAACCCTCACTGATCTGCCGTCTGCTCCCCGTGGGGACAGTAGGTACCGTCCTCCTTTAACACCTGGGTCCTCTCCGGCTTCCCAGCATGGCGGGGCCGCGGCTGGGACCTGTGAACAGGACCTGACTGAGCCCAGGAACAGCAAAGGGGGAAAGCACAGTGTGAGGTGTAACTAAACAATCTGGCTCCCAAAGGGTCACTCTCCCAGAGAACTGACCCCCAGGAATGGACGCCCTGGGACGCCTCTCCCCTCCCACACGGAGGGCCCTGGCAGAGCCTGCATGTGAACACCTGCCTGGAAGCCCAGGGTTCGGGCAGGCTGCACACGCCACCCTCCCGGTGCTGCTGCTGCGGGATCTCCTTCGGGTTCGAGGCTGCCTCTCTCCTCTTCCTCCTCTCGCTGGCCTCCCTGCTTCCCAGACTCCATTTCTCTCCCAAGCCCCTGATTTCATCTAGTCCAGTCTTCTCAACCTTCCTACTGCCACGACCCTTCAATGCAGCTCCTCATGTTGCAGTGACCCCCCACCATGACATTATTTTCGTTGCTGCTTCATCACTGTCATTTTGCTGCTGATAATGAATCGTAATGCAAATATCTGTGTTTTCTGATGGCCGCGACCCACAGGTTGAGAACTGCTGCTGTAGAGCCTAAGACCACCGGAAAACACAGATATTTACAATTCATAACAGTAGCAAAAATGACAGAGATGAAGTAGCAACGAAAATAATGTCATGGTTGGGGGTCACACAACATGAGGAGCTGTATTGAAGGGTCGCAGCAGTAGGAAGGTTGAGAACCACTGATCTAAAGGAAACCAGGGTCTAATAAGCCATTGGGGCCCCGGAGAGCAGTGGGAGCGAGGTTCGTGCAAGACGGGGGACCAGCCTTCTCATCTCTGGTCACTGTGGCCCCTCTGTCCCACAGAGACCTGTCCTCACCAAGGAGACAGGCAAGGCCCACCCATTCCCTTCCCTGCTCCTGCCCCAGACACCAGAGCCCGGCCTCAATTCTAAGAGCTCCTTTCCTTCTGGATGGCATGGAGCTAAGGAGCTTTCAGACCCCCTCCCTGACTTTGGTGTCCTGTGAAAGACTGAAGAGAACTGACCATGACAGAATGCGAAGAGGCCCTTCCGCTGGGGCCCAGGAGGGGCCCGGGGTACAGCGGCTGCACCCCCAGAGCTGGCACCAAACCCTCCTCTACGTCCTTTTGATCTCTGGACCAGAGGGCCGCCGCTGCAGGCTGGATTTGCCGCCCACTTCCCACAGTGCACAGGGGCATGCCGTCCTCTCGGCAGCTCAGCCAGGCTTTCTCTTTGTCTTCCCACACTGCCCCTGCTCCTCAGCCCCCACAGCTGGGAGTGCTGCTCTCCCCACCCAGGAGAGCCAAGATGGGGGTCAGTACGGCCGTGCCAATGACTCAGTTTGCTCAGGCTCCCAACATGGACACTCGTGGGGGGCTCGGCTCTTATCTCTGCTCTCCGGAGCATTTGCTTACCTCATAGGGGCCTTGGCTTTTGCACCCGGAAAGCACGGAGCTGGTTGTGAGACGTGGCCAGTGCGGTGATGAACATGACACCACTTTGGAAAGCAGACGATGGGGCACGCTGTTAGCCACCCAGCTGCCCCCGAGGGAAAACAGCTGGACGTCCCTGCGCCTGGCTCCCTGCACCTCAGGCTTGTTGCTGCTCCTTCGCTGAGCAGAGCAAGAAAGGGACTCATTCTCTGGGGTGGCCAGATCCTGGCCCGACCCCTGAAGATCCCCTGGAGCAACTCACAATTGCTTTATTGCACGTATCTGTGGGCATGAAGGGGTGTCCAGGCACGCGTCCGGAATTGCTCCCCGCCCAGGGCGGCCGCCAGCCCTCCCCGTCCCCTCAGATCCCCGCCTTTGACCCACGGGGCCTGCTGCAGGAATTCCCCCCGGTGGGTGGGCAGGAGCCGTGCCCAGGAGGGTGGCCACTGTGCCTGAGCCTGCCCGGCTGACGTCAGGGCGTGGTGCGCAGATGGAATCCGTTTGTCCAAAGATCATCGCTCGCATCGGAGGCTGTTTGCTGAGTGCTCAGTTCTCCCCTTTAGAAACAGGCCTCCCCTCCCGGGGCTGCCTGCCCTCAGGAAAGGCGAGGAGCAGCATCCTGTCAAGAGTGACATTTCAGGTTGGACTGGAGGGCCCTTTCCAGCCCACCACGGGTAATGATAGCACTTTAAAAGGATATAAACACAGTCAGCGTTCCCATTTATCTCCGGCTCGCTGGGCCGGATGGTTATCAGCGCCTGCAGAGGAGGAAGCAGGCCAGGAGGTGAGGCGACTCGCCTCGGGCCATGCAGTTAATTAGCGGCTGGGGCCGGGGCTGCGTGCCAGGCTGAGCCTCTTGCTGCCGCAGCTCCCAGCCGGCCCGGCCTGAGAGGCTGTTTCCCTCGGGTGGGCCATGGGGATGGCCCGTTGGGTGCTGCCCACTGCAGGACTGAGCTGCAGGGCCACACCCCCACCTTCCTGAGGGCGCCCACTGAGCAAACGCCCAGCCCGGGCCTTGCCTGGGCAGCGCCAGGTGAAGCTGATGCCCCCTGGGGCCTAACCCACACCTAGTTCTCCCCCCCACCACCCCCAACTCTCCTGGTGCCTTCCGTTCTGCAGATGGCACCGTGCGCCCAGCCATCCCTGTGGCCTCTCCTGCTGGGATCTCAGCCTCACAGGAGGCTCACACAGGCCAGGACCCTGGGTGGGACCGGGCTCGGTGGACCTGCGAGATTCCTCCCTGAGCTCGGGGCTGCTCTCTGACCAGCACCGTAAAGGGAGTCCTGCTCACGGGTGGAGGGGGCAATGGCGAAAGACCGCTGGTCCCCCGGAAAGGCTTGAGGAAGGCTGACAGGGAGGGCGCTGAGGCAGGGGTGAGGGCCTGCGGGGGCCGCTCAGGGCTCTGTAACTCCAGAATCAGAGTCCAGGACGGAATCTCGCAGGTCCGCCGAGCCCGGTCCCACCCAGGATCCCTTCCACGGGATTCCCAGAGATGTTTGCTAGGTCTCTGTTCACACGCTTCCCGGGACGGGAGGCTCACTGCTTCACAAGTCCTGACTCCATCCGGGTCACCTGGTGTGTTTCAACGGCTTCTCATTCTGCCCTCGGATCTACACCCACCCCCGGGGGGGCTGCACCTTGCAACCTGGCATCCCACCCGCTAGCAATGTGACCTCCCTGTGCTGCTGTCTCCTTGCAGTTTGGGGGTGTTAGCAGCTCCCCCTCATGAAACAGTGCGGGTCAGAGGTCAGCCGCGGGCCCTGCCGGGCCCATGGTAAATGCTCAGCGAAGGGCAGGCGTTTCCACCCGCACATGGTTCTTTCCATCAGAACCGGAGCGCTGCCGCCCCTCGGAGCTCTCCTTGACTGAGCGCCGTGAGCCTCACTTCCTTCGGCCCCACGTCTTCCCGTGGTGGGCATGCTTCTGCTCGTGCCGCCTGAGTCAGCATCCAGCGCACTGGCCCTTCCGGCTCTTGGGCCTTCAGAGCTAGCCTGAAGCTACCAGGTCTCTCCAGGTCAGCACTCGCAGCCCCTGGCTCCCTAGCTCAGAGCCGTCCGTGCGTGCGGGTGACATTTCTCGTCGGCCTGGGTCTGTCCTGACATTTCGGCACCAGCTCCGGCGGGGAAGGCGGAGGAGAGCGGAGATGGGGCTGGCAGCGGCCAGGAGAAGGGTCTGGGAGGAGGCTCCGTGGGCGGGGTGGGGCACGAGGGTTTGCTGGGCCCTCAGCTTAGCTCTTCTGGAAGCTTCTCCCTGCCCCTTGCCTCGCGCACCAGGCGGATCCTTCTCTCGGGGTCCCACTCACCCGGGGGCTGGCCATTCCTGCCTGTGGCCCCGGGGATGCCGTGGAGAGGGGTTGGCGAGGTCAGCACGAGAGCATGGAGCGTGCTCTGGGTGCAGGCTGCCATTATGCTCCTTCCGAAGGGACTATTAACGTCACGGCCGAGTTCACGTGCAGTGCCGGGATGGGGACCCTTCACCCCTCCAGGTGCCTGCTGATGGACGGGGAGTCCGCAGCCGTCTCTTCTCCCTCTGGTCTGCCCCGTCGGCGGAAAGAGGGTCCTCCCTGCCACTCCCTCCACCTGGCCCCCTTTAGTCTCACCCCATTTCCCTCTGGGAGAGAGGGTACCAGAAAGCGTGCGGCCAGGACAAGATGAGGGGCGAGGCGATGGGACACTGGGGACCCTGGTTCTCTGGGGAAAGGAACGTAAGTGTCATGAGACCACTCCTCTGATTGGTGCTGCCTGGGCTGGGGAGGGCGAGGCAGCGTGTCCGAGGAGGAGGGT